AGAAACGCGGCTTGAAATTCCTCCCATTGGTTTCAACATCTCATTGGTTGAGCATCGCGTCAATATATATTTTTCTTGCCCACAGTTTCGTATTTTTGTTTATTTTTTTTTTATTTTGGTGGTGAACGTTCAAGCGAATAAATGATGTGTTCAAAAATGGTTATATGAAAAAACAATAACGTTAGAAATTATTAAATTAGGAAGAAAATGTATAAAAGAAATATTCTATAGAAAAATGAAGGAAAAAGAGGAAACACATGAAAAGAAGGAATCGACAGGAAAAAAAAAGACGAAGGAAAATACGGGTAAAAAAGTGGAATGAAATATGAAGACAAGGATAGAAAAAGAGTGACAAATATACGATGAAATCGAGAAAGGATAGGAAGAATAGATAAAAAAAGAAGCTTAAAGAAAGAATGTCGAGAAATGAAGTGAAAAAAAATAAAGGCAAGAATCGAAGGATTGAAAGAAAAGGGTTTGAAGAAATGTCGATTAAAGACCGAAAGAAAAGAAAAGAAGGAAGGATCAAGAAAGGAAAAGAGAAAAAGGAAAGCATGAAGGAAGGATAGGAAAAAAGAGGAGGAGGAATGATTGAAAATGGAGAGAAAGAAAAGAAAAACAAAGGAAAGGCTGAAGGAAAGATTAGGGAAAAGAGAAGAAGGAAGGATCGAGAAAGGAGAGTAAGAAAAGAATAAAAAAAGGATACAGGAAGGAAGGAGAAGAAGGAAGGATCGAAAAAGAAGTGTATGAAAAGAATAAAAAGGAAAGATAAAGGAAAGAAGAACAGGACCAAAAGAGATGAAGTAAGGATCGAAAAAGGAGTGTAAGAAAAGAATAATAAAAAAAGTAAGGATGAAGAGAAGGATAGGAAGGAAAGAGAAAAGAATAAAAAAGGAAAGAAGAAATGAAAGAAGGAAGGAAGGATAAGAAGAAAAGAGAAGGGGGAAGGATTAAGAAAGGAGAGTAAGAAAAGAATAATAAAAAAGAAAGGATGAAGGACGGAAGAATAGAAAGAAAAAAGAAGGAAGGAATGATCGAGAAAGGTGAGTAAGAAAATAAAATGGATGGATAAAGAAAAGAAGAACAGGAACAAAAGAGATGAAGTAAGGATCGAAAAAGGAGAGTAAGAAAAGAATAAAAAAGAAAAGGATGAAGTAAGGAATGAAAGGAAGAAAGAAGGATCGAGAAAGGGGAGTAAAAACGGTAGAAAACGAAAAGGAGAGGGGAAGAGAGAGTAGATGCAAAGAATAGAAGACAAAAGAGAGGAAAGAATCGAGAATGAGAAGAAAAGTGAAGAGAGACGTATCAAGACAGTAAGAGATAGAGAGAGATAGAAAGGAAGGAAATGATCAAGGATGGATAGAAATAGAAAAGGAAGAAGGATCAAAAAAGGAAAGGAGAAGAGGAGGGGGTGTAAACAACAGAAGAGAAAAAGAGGGGTAAGGATCGAGAAAGGGGAAGAAGAAAAGAAGCGAAGAACCTATTAAGAAAGGAAGACAGATAGATAGAAAGCTAGAGAGAGAGAGAGAGAGAGAGGGGGAGGGGGAGATTAAAAGAAAGGATCGAGAAAGAACAGAAAGAAAAGGAAATTCCGAGAAGGAGAGGAGGGGAGGAGAAGAAAGTAGGATAGAAAAAGAAAGGAAGAAGAGAAGCAGTGATAGAGAAAGAGAGTATAGAGAGACTAGAGGAACAAAAGAAGAGGAGAAAAGGAAAGAAGGAAGCAAATAAAGAGAAAAAAGCAAAAGAAGTAAAGACTTGAAGGGAGAAAGAAGAGGAGGAAAAACGGAAAAAAAAAAAAAAAGGAAAGAAACCATAAGAAAAATAAAGGCAGAAGAAAGTTAAGAGAAAGAAAAAAAAGCTAAAAAAAAAAAGATAGAAAGAACCAACGAAATGATGGAAAAAAATAAGCAAATTAACCCCATCCCCGCCATTATTATTGTGAAAAACGTTTCATTTTCAAACGAATCTTTTTATTTGCTTTTAATATAGTAACTAAAAGACTGAGGTACCTTGAAGTACCTGAGCGGTGACTAACACCTCTACCAGACGTATGAGTTGACAACTGAACTCATTTCAAGCTCAGAAGGGCATAAAATGAATCAAGATCGTCGTACAAACACGCATGGAGGTGGTTTTTCAACGTTATGTTTTGGGCGTGTTTATTCGTCTATGTCTGAAAAAGACGCTTTCGATAAAAACAAGTTACGCTTTTATCTCCTTTAACCCCTTCTACGACAATTATTCTTGGAAAGAAGTTTCATTTTCAGACAATTTTTCTATTTGTTCTTAATATAGTAACTAAGAAACCAAGGCGACTTGAAGTACTCGAGCTGTGGCTAACACCTCTACCAGACGTATGGATATTTACTTGACCCCCAGCTGAGTCAGGTTGTGAAACATATGAGTTGACAATTGGAATCGTTTCAAGCTCAGAAGGGCATAAAATGAATCAAGATAGACGTAAACAGTTCTGACGCTTTTTCTGGTTTTTGAACGATAAGTTTTGGACGTGTTTATTCGTCCGTGTCTGAAAAAGACATTTTCGGTAAAATCGTGTAGTTTTTCGGAGAAAACCGAACGTTTCAAGCGTGAAGACTAGAATGCGAAAACTTAGAACGATATGTTGACAAACTAGAAAGAAAGAAAGAAAGAAAGAAAGAAAGAAAGAATAAAGAAAGAAAGAAAGAAAGAATAAAGAAAGAAAAAAAGAAAGAATAAAGAAAGAAAGAATAAAGAAAGAAAGAAAGAATAAAGGAAGAAAGAATAAAGAAAGAAAGAAAGAATAAAGAAAGAAAGAATAAAAGAAAGAAAGAAAGAAAGAAAGAAAGAATAAAGAAAGAAAGAATAAAGAAAGAAAGAATAAAGAAAGAAAGGAGGGAAGGTAGTTGATTTGTATCTAGGTTGGGTAGAAATCAAGGGAGAAGAAAGAAAAGGAAGAAAGAATGAAATAAAAGAAGAGGAGAAAACAATTGTAGTTGTAAACAAAAGAAAAAAAAAGACTGTCAACTTATAATAGCAATAAATGCCTGCAATAGATTTCTTCTGTCTCTCAACCGCAACACTTGTAGCCAAATCACAGTTCAAACGATAGTCCGTCGCAACAGTTCAACAGGCAACGTAGAAACGACAAAATGGGGTCATACATCCAACCTTCACTTCTCACCAGCAAAAACGCGTGTCCGTCCACCAAGCTCAGAAAATCCAATCTCCCACATAAGCGAAAAACAACGGCTTTTGTTCACCAAGAGATCTTTCTGATTGGTCACGCCATTCAGGGGAGGGAATAACATTAGCATAGATTCTGGTCCTTAAAGTAGATTTTTGCTAACTACTTTTTGGTAATTTTTCTTCGGCAGATCGCACACAAAACACGAACTCTTTTTCGAGGTAGCTGATTATCTCTTTCACTACAAGAATGCCAACGAAAAACAAAGAAAAAGAATTAATGATTTGAAACATACATACATACAGGGAGAAACAACGTGCATTAAATTTTCAGCTGTGCCCTTGGGTGTAAGCTTGTTGGTAAAAGTGGGTAGACGATGGAAGACAGTTCCTCTGAAATTTCTGGTATCTCTTTCTAAATAACTTAAGTCAGCACATACATGGATTAATAGAATAATAATAAAAATAATTTTATTAATAATGTTCAAGCAAAACAATTGAGAAACAATGAGTTGTAAATTAAAGACTTTTTAACTTCCTGCTGTCTTCCTGGGCGTAAAAGATATCACAACTGATACAGGTCGGGTAGTTCCATGACAGTGCGCAGTGAACTTGCGCAATAGAGCCAAAACAATATTTGATTTTTGGATCAATTAATGAACTGAATTAATAACAGAACTTTCACATTTCTAATTTAAAAAATAGGCGTTGAAATCTATGAACCCTGCTCTGAAATGAAGAATCTATCATTCCCCCAAAGAGTTTAAATTTTGCATTTAACCCATTTAGACCTCTTTTCGGGGTACTGTCAGTGACGAAAATAGTTTCAGCACACAGAAAAAACATAGGAATATCTAGATCATGATTTTCTGTTATGAAAGGAAAGTTATATTGAAAACTGATATTTGATGCCTAGCATAACGGTAGACGATTGAAGACAGTTCCTTTGAAGTTACCGATAACCAAAGCTGAATCCTTCTGAAGCGCGGTTGACTACTGACTGTTGGGTTGCCAACTCTATTTCTATTTCCATTTAGGGGCTCCGAGCGAGCGGTACCTTTGGAAAGTGTCTGAAAAATCATACCACTGGTTGACCAAAGCCTTGTTAGTGAAATTGGGTATATGGAAACCCTTGGGAGCTGTCGATAGCTGTACTAGCACGAAGTCACAAGTCATCGTGGCCGAGGGCTTGAGTGTGCTAGCCTTGTTGATCACGCTAGATAACACGCACTTTCCCAGAAACTGTAACTAACGTCTTCTGAGAATAGTTGCAGTATAAACCGCAGGTGGGCTCTGTGGGTGTTGAATAAACACAGATGCGCTCAAGCAAGCGTCTGTAATAGGGATTGGCTTGTAGACGGTACCCTCGAATACGAGTGGACAGCTATATTATGTGTGTGTGTGTGTGTGTGTGTGTGTGTAGTCCGTTTTTAGTTAAGAAGGCAATGCGTATTCACTAACCAAATTGTTTCTTTTCTCATTTTTGCTTATCGTTCCTCCTAAATGTCAGATCTAATCTCCAATGAGCAGCCATTTTTATCGAGCAGATTTGACAGCAAAACAAGTTATCAACTTTATGGCAGCAAATTGCTTAGGACTCCTCTCGAAATAGGTCGTTTGGAAAATAATGTCCGATTTTAGAATCCTTTTTTCTTGCATTAATATATTTAAACTGTATTTTAATAATTTAAAAATAGGAATCCTGAACATCTATACATTTCTGTCATCGGGTTACGAGGTTATTTATGCCTTTACGATAAAACTCTTACGATTAACAATTCCGAGCTATTATTATTATCCATTTAACCACCCGAACATACAAGCTTACGAAACACAAAAACTCAACCATCTACGTACTGACCAAGCTCGACGTTGCTTAACTTCGGTGATCGGAGGGGAACCGGTGCTACAACGTTATGTGGCTGTAAGCGAGAACACAAGTGAAATGTTTATTCGAAAATCGGACATTATTTTGCGAGCAACCTAATAAAATGTCAATTTGAACGAAGGCCAGTTTTCTTAATATTGTTATATCTTTGCGACGCCTACATAAATACCACACGTCCATACATTTCCACGTCGCTGTTTTGTTACACCCAAGCAGATGTTGGCAATAATTAATTTTATCCATTTCAAACCTTTTCGCTGAAAAACAGAGTGTTCATGCATTGGCTTCGTATCCAAATCAGGTTCGAAATTTGCTAATTGCTACCGTGTTCGGTAACATATTTCAACATTTTCAGTCTAAGTGAATTCAACACGTAAAGAGATTTTCTATATATTTCTACACAGAATCAGGTGTAATATGTCTTAGAAAAGGGAAAGAAAAATCCATTCTTCAATAAAGTGATTGATAATGCGTTTGTAACGGGGTAGGTAAGTTAGGTGTTGATGTATTATTTTTCCCGTTGTAATTATTTGTTGAGTGTAATGGGGTTGATATTAATGACAAATTAAAATGCATAAACGTACACCGATAACAACAATAAAAACTTGAGACACGTGCTGATATAAATAACAAAAATTTATATTTTCTTTTTGTTATGTGAATAACAGAATATTGGTATGGTGTGTGTAAAAATGTTCTCAGTATCTCTTTTGTTTAAAAGTCAGTGCTTACTTGGTTTAGATCCGAGAATTTCGTTTGTGAGAATGCGTTTGAAATGGTTTCGTTCCGAGAATTTCGTTTGTGAGGATGGCGTTTGACATAGTCTGTTTTCAATCTGCACGGAGCGTTGGCAAAGACGGGGGTGGCTGTATTACTACTACTACTTGTCTACTGATTTCTGACTAATGCTAACGGAACCCTACTCTACTGACTCTCTTGTGCCGGAAGGGTCGTTTTTATAAAGATGAGGGTCAGGATGATGAAATGTCCTTCTTTTCTATCATCACTGATGAAAAGGTTATTTTTAAAATGAAGAAATATCATCATCATTCTAGATCATAACACGTTTCTTGTAGAAAACCTATAACGTTATTAGATTACTGGTTTGTTACAGGAGTCCAGTTTGTATTGGTGTTGTCTCGTTTGTTGAACAAAAATATGCTTGGTGAATATATATATATATATATATATATATATATATATATATATATATATATATATATATATATAAAATGGACCAATTCCGACAATTATTTTAAGACATTTTTATACATTCTTTTTATAGATGGTATTTATCAATTCACCACAAATTGAATTTGGCAGGCCTTTTTAATTTTGTCCGAGCCCGTAGGCCCAGCCAAAAATAAACCCATCTAAACCCGATTCTTTTCCGTCAACCTCCCCGAACGAAACCCTACCCTTCGGCGGAGCTTCGTCCGGGTTCCTCTCTCTGCAGAAAGTTCGAGAACACCCGGCTCGGCATCGACAAATATTTAAGTACACTTTGATCCTAACCGCCGAGCGGGTATTCTTTTATGGATAAAATATTTAAGTAAATGCAATAATAAACAGTTAAACAACATTTACTGACCTGAATGTCCGAGAAATTTTCATAGAAAATATGCGTCCTCCGACAAGAATCGAACCTGTATCCTATACGGAACCGTAATATAGCCTGACGCGCCTTTAACCGATTTTAAGTAAACTTTAAAAGTAATTTTCATAGAAAATATTCGTCATTAATTATGACGAATATTTTCTATGAAAATTTCTCGGACATTCAGGCTGGTAAATGTTTTTAAAACTGTTTATTATAAACAGAGCATTTACTTAAATATTTGTATCTATATATAAAAAAAGAATGTATAAAAATGTCTTAAAATAATTGTCGGACTTTGTCCATTTCATAATGTGTGACGTGATTTGTTTACATTTGGATACGCCATGAGCAGATATGAATGTACGTGAGAGATTCATGGATGATTGAAGTTTAAAGACAGTAAATTCGACCTTGCAAACCAAAAGATCCTCTGTGGCCGAATCGGTTAAAGGCATGTCAGGCTATGTGACTGTTCCGTATTGCATACAGGTTCGATTCCTATCGAGGGACGAATATTTTCTATGAAAATTTCTCGGACATTCGGATCGTTAAATACTACTTATATATATACGTGTATATTGTTCGTTCCTTCTCTTTTGAAATGACTACAAGAACATCCCCTCTTCCCGAATTTATAGACAAAACATACAGGGTGGACTGGCAGTTATGTACTGGATATTTGCGTTCCAGACAATTGCGTCCCTACACAAATGCATCCCAGGATAATTGCGTACTTCTGATAATTTTTTGAAGTTAACATTTTTTTTTTGTAAAGAGTTCTTTAATATAGAAATTTGCACATCAATACCTTTAATTACTTTAAACAAGCAGAAATTAGTCACCATAAATAAATTAAAAAAAAAGAGAGTAAAGTTGCAAGAGAAAATTAAGCTCACACTTTCAGTTAACTCCAGCAGTGCGTACCACAAACATCTAATAGATTCTGGATTTTATAGATCATATTTTGATTTGGAACCCATGGCTAAGTTTCGAAAATCAAACACTGGTGGAAAAATATGGACGAGGAAAATTACAGCTGCCACTGTCATAAGAAAAATGTCGATGAAACAAAAACACACTGGCGATGTGTAGAACGATCATATAACACTATTAATCTGTCATTGCATTTTAAGCAAAAATAAACTTTCATTTTTTTTAAATTTTATTTGTTTTATTTCTTTTTTTTAAAAAACATTATGATTACAACCTATGCTTTTTTCAAAAATTATGGTAATTGCCTTTAAAAGCATCAAAAAATTATCAGAGTTATGGAATTATCCAGGGACGCATTTGTCTTGGGACGAAAATGTCCATGGACACAACTGTCTGGTACGCAATTGTCCGATACGCAAATGTCCATGGACGCAACTATCCTAGAACCAAGATACAGATGCATGCTGGGATTTCTTCCTAGATAAGATAGGCCACTTCTCGGTCTCATCCGCTATATTTCTGTTTCGTCTTGTCTTGAAGTCAGAGCGCTGTGATCACTTGTCTGTATCCCCTTTGTGTGTTAACATCATTCTTAATTTGCGAAACCTTTTGTCTCATTACTGTTGCTTTGCCTACTTTTGTCTTGCACATATATAGGGTGTCCATAAAGTTCATGTGCACTTTTAAAAATGTATAACTTTATTTGTATTTGCGATAGGAATAATTTGTAAAAAGGATTAGAAAGAAGTAAATCTACATTTTTTGAGGTTTTCTTGAAATTTTATTTAAGTTTCCACATGTCCTCCATCATTAGCAATACAAAGGGTAATACGATTTTGCAGTTCACGGAAAACATTTGCCAACTGATTTACAGTAATGCCTGAAATCACATTAGTTATTTTAGCTATACTTAAAACTAGTTACATTTTTTTGCAGATTATTTCTATCGTAAATACAAATAAAGTAATAATTTTTTAAAGTGCACACGAACTTTATAGACACCCTGTATATATATATATATATATATATATATATATATACTTTTTAAGCGTTTCACCCCAAGCAAGGCGGGAAGCCACTAGGACGTGAGGGGTTACAGAAGATTTGGAGCAAGATCAGATAGGAGTGATAGAGGAAAGGATGAGGAGAAGGATAGTGGATAGATCAAGGCAACTGGAGATGTCGATTGACATTACATTTGAATAGCTGGAGATTATAGCTCACAGGGAAACAGGAATAGAGAAGGGAGTTCCACAGGCGAGAGGTGCGAGACATGAAGCTATTGGAGTAGAAGAGACGGCTACATTTAATAGTTTCGACAGTGAAAGGGTGAGAGCGGGATGCCAGCCTCATAGGGCGCTTGAATTCATGAAGTCTGGGAACCAGCGAATGCAGCTCCTCGCAGCAAGTACCATGAAAGTATTTGTAAAAAAGACAGAGAGAGGCGACGGCGCATCTGTGAGAGAGCGACTGTAGACGAGATGCCAGAACAGGGCCAATTATATTGCGTATCCGTCTCTGGAGCCTATCAAGAACCGCGAGGCAAACAGAAGGGGCACCAGACCATATATGGCAGCAATACTCCATGCAAAGGCGAATTGTTGATTTGTAGATCTGGAGGATCGATTCCGGGGAGAAAAATTTCCTGACGCGGCACAGGGAGCTAACTTTCCTTGCGGTGGACGAAGCAATTGACTCAATGTATTTGTTCCATCTCAGGTCAGCAGTTAACGTGAGACCGAGCAGCCGTAGACAGGTGCTCTCGAGAAGTTGAGCGTCAGACATTCTAATGGAGGGCAGGGAAGGATCTTTGTGGTGATTAATAGAGAGCAGTTTTGCTTTTGAGGCATTAAAGTTGACCAGCCAATTCCTGCCCCAGTTCACAACTGATTGGAGGTCCTTTTCAAGACGCTCGGCCAGTTTAATTTTGTCAGCGACACTAGGTTTGTTTTTGAGGCAGGAGTAAATTTTGGTGTCATCCGCGTAGATGCCAACTTGGGAATTTATGGCGTCAGGAAGGTCATTTATGTAGATAAGGAATAGAGTGGGGCCTAGGATGAAGCCTTGAGGAACACCTGCGTTCGTGAGATAGGAACTGTAGGAGAATCCGTTGAGAACGACCTTCAATTCACGGTTTGACAGGAATGATTGTATTTGGTCGAACAATCGACCCGTAATGCCATAACCCTGGAGCTTGCGAAGACGGCCGGTATGCCAAACCCTATCAAACGCTTTGGAGATGTCCAGGGCCACGGCTCAGGCTTCCCCGTTATTTTGAAGAGCTTGGTAAACAGTTTCAGTGATGGCCGTAAACATATCAGCTATAGATCGGGCAAAGCGGAAGCCATATTGCTTGTCTGAGAGCAGATCATGGGATGTAAGGTGGTTAACCACTTCGGTATTGATTAGGGCTTCGAAGACTTTGCCGAAGAGGGGTAGGAGACTGATAGGACGGTAATTAGAAGGGACAGAGGGGTCGCCAGAGTTCTTGAAGA